CACACCCAGAGTGATTTTCAAGCTGCCAGGTCTGGAATTTGTACCATGGTTGGCCATGTGGGAGTCCAGCACCTTAACCCCCACACCACCTGCTGGCCCTAAGGATATTTTTTAGCTAAAACTCATGCATTTTGTTCTCCAGACTCCTTTATTAACTTATACATTGTATACTTTTAACTTTGTGGATCAAACTGGTCCACATCAAGCCTGCCCACATACAACCTCAGATGGTTTAATTTTGCTGAAATAGCCTCTTTAAATAGTAGCAGATGTCATATGATACCCATCATTTTAGCCATACTTCCCTGGTATTCACTGAGGAATTTACTGAGGGGATTACTAGGTTTTTTTGCCTGCTGCCTGTCTTGGGTTCATATTGATTATAAGAAAAATTTTTATAAATAACATATTACAATGAATATTTCTTCTATATAAACACTTTGGTATATAACAGGTTTCAAGCTGGTAAAAGAACAGTCTAAATATTGATGCAAAAAAAGTACAATGATAGAGAAAAAAGAAGTACATTTTACTTAAAAACGTCAATATTTTTCACTGAATTAATTTACAGTTATCAAAATTTTGAAGAATGTGATAATGAATCTGGGCATTTAGTGCCTTTTTAGTATCATAAATGTACAAGATAAGACAGAATTCTTAGGCATATATATATATGTATAAAAGTATACACACACACACATCGTTTTTATCTAAGAGTTCATGAAATAAGGAAATTAAATATTGCTCATTGTTTAGTACACATTTTAGCTTATGCTTTTTTATTTTAATTTTATTTTGACTTTCTTTTTTAATTTTAGTACAATTTTTATTTGCAAGTGTATTTTATTTGTTAAAAATGTACCAAACCATATTTTAAAATGTAACTACCATGCAAATTACTGTATTATTTGTATGTTCTATGTATTATTGTGCATTATTGGCTTGTAACAGAATCAGAATTTCTGTAGCTAAAGCAGTCAGAATAAATACTTTCAGAAACTGTTTGATTAAACCAGAGAGTTACTTTAAAATGTTTTATTTCTAAATAAGACATTTGAAAAATAATTATTGATGCCCTAATTTTTACATTTGAATTTATTTATTAAGTAGATTTCTTATTAAAATAGAAAAGAAAAAGCAACACTTCATACATTTCCTATAAAGAATCTCTCTCCATCTAATTTTGTGTGTGCTTTATTTGTTTTCATGTTTATTACAAAATTATTATACAAAAGAAAAAGACCAAGAGAGAAAAGTATTAGTATTTTGCCAACTGTGAATGAACTATATCACTTAATTGATTTGATATCATGATGTATAATTTAGGTCAGCTTATTAGATGGTTTTGTCATTTAAGATTCAAGTAATGGAAACCATCAGCATTTTTCTGTAGTTTATTTTAACAGATGAAGATCCTCTAGAGATATCTTTGATTATAGTACGTGGGAGCTTTATGCTTCTATAGAAAACATTTCACACAGAAAATACTGTTTTGAAATGATTGCAGGTAGAGCTCTTTTTAATATCCCAATGTGTTATTTCTGTTTCTGAAATAATATTGCTACCTTTGTTTGTGGACAGTTTTCTGGTCTATTTGTAGAACCTTCTGGATTAAACACCCATCAAGGCAAATTGCTACTCAAGAGAGGTACAAAAACCGAGAGAGGCAAAAAATCAAGCGATTGTGATAAAGTTGCTTAACCTTTCTTAGTAATATAACCTTGCTATTTTATTTCTAAGATTGAGGAATCTTAGAATTTCTAAGATTATTAAGTCACTATAAGGCTTAAATGATAATATACATGCAAATCACTATAAATTTTACATGACACTTAGTAATTTATTAGTCAATATCTCAAATTGGCAGGGAGTTCTGATATCTTAGGAACAGTCCACTTTCCTATTACAACAATAAAATAGTAAACTATTTATACATGCAGATTTATGGGAGGAAGTGTATGAAAATGGATGTTTAACAATGTCACATATGCATATGAACACACACAAAACTAAAACATTGTCATTAGCAAGTTTTAAGAAATCATCTTGTGCATGTTTTAGCAATGGGAAAAATATTTCAAAAGCTCATCAGAAGGCAGTTTATTGTGCACAATTGTTTAGCAGTCATGAAAAAGTATAACTAGATATGGGGAATTCTCTTTCAAGTCAGTTCAGTTTGGAATAAATGTTTTCTTCACTTAATATTCAAAAGGATATTATTTTCGTTTGTAATTTATGTCACATTTGCTGTTTAATTGTTCCACATGATAAATATTTCTTCAGAAAGAGCATTGGCTTCTAGAGATGGCTTTTGTGTTTATAAATATGTTCTCTCTTTTCCTTCTGAAAGATGTAATTCAAAATGACAGTACAATAAGAAGGCTTGACACAAATACAAGTAGAATTTCAGGGGGGATTAATTTTTTATTTATGCAAAATGTGAAAACCTTCTTCTTTCTCAGTATTCAAAAGTATCTGCCACATATTTTAGTTTCAGACTACAGGCCAAATGCTTGTAATACAAGCAGAAATTAATTGGATCACAACAATCTACCTGATAGATTACTTCTGCTCTCTCATTGCACTGTGTGAATGGGACAATTCAACATATGTCATGATTTATGTTTTTTGCAGGTGTGTTCTGAAACAACATTGTTTTAGAGTGGCAGTGAAAGAAAATAATTTTATTTTAATATTTTAAACTACAAGAAATTTGAGCTTCAGAGTGAAAAAAGGAAGAAGAATTTCCTTTCACTTAATTTTATTGCTCCTGGACAAATTATTCTCTATAAACCTCAGTTTTCTCAGTAGTAAAATGTGGAAAATATTGATCTCAGAGCATTGTGAAAAGGAAATATGATAGCAATCATAAAATTCCTCAGAATGCGAAATGCTTAAAATTCCAATGCTGCTCTTCTCCCATTCTTCCCCAAGTAGAAGTTATTCTAGTTATTCTCAGACCTACATATTAATCTTAAATAAATACCCAAAGCATACTCCTCTGTTGGATTCTCTTTTTACTAGGCAAGCTCTGAAAGTGACCTTGTTTAACTGATCTCCTAAGCATATTCTAGCTCCTCTACCTTTGAGACATGTTGTCTCCCTGTGCCAGAACCTGTTTGTCTGGGTCCCTGTCCACACTTCTAGAAATCACTCCTCTCCTGTATTCACAAAGGTAGGATCCTTCCTTTCACTGTGGTTTTTTTATTCCTGATCTGAAAATCTTCACTATCATTCACATGAATAAGACTATTAACATTATTTATGGATAGATTTGCTATTTTCCACATTTTAGATAGAACCTATTTCATAAACACACAACTCAAACCAGACCCAAGTTCATAATGCCAGTTTATATATATAAGCAAAACGACCTACTTATTTATCCTCTCCCATGAGTTATTACTGCTAGCCATAATTAAGGAGGGGAAAAAAAAGAAAGAAAGGATAAAAAAAGTGAGTGTATTTACATTGGGAACATGTTCTTTAATGATGCCATATACTGGAGTATCCTTTTAAATATTATATATATTTTTTCTGTTTCCCTCAGTAGCAAAAAATGGCCCTAAGACTCCATTATTAATTACCACATATTATTTAGTAGCCATTTGTCCCATGCATTCTATAAACTAAAGTAAGATTATTTTTAAATTAATTAATATTTTTAACTGACAAACTGGAATTGTGTACTTTTATCATGGACAACATGATTTGAAAAGTGTGCTTAATGGAGTAGTTCAATAGAGCTAACAGACACACTGAAGTACAAGGTATTCTCATTGTTATTGTATTTGACCACTAAGCTTTCTGATCACTAACTAAAAACATTTCCATAAACAAAATAGAGACTGAACCGTCAGGTGGCTTGGTGGTTAAGACCTTGGACCTCCACATGGTCAACCATGGTTCAAGTTTTGGACCTAGTGGCTTGCTTTCTCACTTTTCCTTTTTCTCTCTCTGTCTCTGATCAAATTAAAATAATAATAATAATGAGTAAAATTAAGTAAATAATTCTTTAAGAAAAAAGAAAATACAGACTTAGGACTTTAATAAAAAAAAAGTATCAATGTAGAATATAGAAAGACATCTAACCAAATAATAAAATGTCCATTTTGTTGAATAGTCACAATGTTATCTATTTTAGCAGATGAACTCATATAGTTTGTTCTAGAGTGGGGAGAGTAAAACCATTTATTTAAACCGAATGTCCATAGGAGTACATAGTGATTTAATCAACTTCCTTATAATACCACTGAGGGAAATATTCAGATTCTGTATTGTAAGTTTTCAGAACACTGAAATAAACCTCAAAAATGCACCAGGAATCAAACAGGTACTGATTGGTGTTAAATGTGACACTGTGAACGAAAACTAGATGTGGTGCAAGTGAGAAGTGCTCATTTTCAATAAGAAACACAGTTACAGGGAAGACCCAGGTGTGAATCACTCTATTATCATAGAAACTATAGCAATTTTCACCTATTGCAAAACTAAAACGAAATAACTAGTCAGAACTAAAGTAATGTAAATGGCATCAATGTCATCTGCTACTTACATGAAAATATATGAAATGGTTCAACAAATACAATCACTGAAGAGAAGCCACAGAAATCTTATGCTAATTATATAATACAACAAATGAAGTGGTAGCATATGTTTTATAAATGTGAGTATTAAATTGCATCAGATTTTTACATGGATATATTACTTTTGGAGTTTAGGATAAAATTCTAATCTAGTGTGGGTATATTACTTTTATAGCAATCCATAGCATAAGATCAGTTGTTCAACAATTGACTCATTTTTCTTATTAAAATTACATTGGATGTAAGTCTTTTCGAAGTTTTAAAGTCTGAAGACATGTAACGTTTGTCCATTAGCCTCTACTTCCTAAAGACCAAAAGGGTCTGGCATATTATTTCAGTTGCAATAGCATTCAATGATATGGCAATATTTTTTAAAGCTGCACTAATTTAGACTTAACAGGAAAGACGACATACTTTTAGGGAACCGTGGTGGATTGTCATTGACATCAGTGAGGGTGATGTTGACTATTGTCGTCCCAGCTAATCCTCCCAGTTGTCCTCCCATATCCTTGGCTTGGATGAGTACTTGGTATTGTTCTTTGACTTCTCTGTCCATGTTTGGCAAAGCTGTTCTAATAACACCTTGAGGGAAAAAAATGATAATAAAAGATCAGTGTTATGATTTGGATAATTGTCCCCCAAAGCTTCATGTGTTGGGACTTGGTTGTCCTGTGAAAATGTTCAACAAAAACTTGATCCCTGCATAGTGTCTCAAGGGTA